TCTATCAATAATGCCTTGTCATCATACTGTATATAAGCAGCTCAGTTGATAGAGCTGTTGCCTCTCAGCAAGAAGGTTATCATATTGCATCCCAGCCTGAGAAACTTTCTTGGAAGTTTGCATGTTCTCTCTTAGTCCATTGGCTAAGAGAGAGCGTGGCTCACCGTTAGGGGTAGCTAGCTATGCAGGAAACAAAATTTTATAAACAATGTATTAGCAGTCCAGATGCATCTCAGTAATCCAGGTAGAAAAAATCAAAAAGAAAAAAAAATATGTAGGTCCCCTGGATGGTTTCTTCTTTAGTGAAATGTTTCGTCTAGGTATTAGCAGATTTGTATTGATTAGCTCTTTGATTTAGGATGGACATAGCAGGCGAAGTAAGATGTGACCTTACTTTAGTTCATGATCTTGTGCTTACTCTGCAGACTGTTGCAACTAGGTGGAAAACAACATCAAGTCCAGGTGTGAATCACTTGATGTGGTCTTCAAGGGGACATCTCATGCTTTTAAATCCTTCTTTTCCACATTTAAATTATTCCGTTGGGGTCTATATGAAGTGGAACTGCAATGCTTTGGTCTGAATTCCTCCTCATTGCATTTCATTAAACAAATGTGCAAAGAAATATATCATCAGGGTGTCTAAAGGTCACAATCCCAACAGAAGATGAAATTTTCCTCTTTTATCTGAGTTTACCACACAGATCCTACATATTTAACACAGATCCACTCATTCAGAAATATGTCTGTTGACAATACACTAGGCCAGTGGTTCCCAACCTCAGGGGACATCTCATTTTTTTAACATTATATAAACCTTGATATTATCATAAAAGCCATCATTTACAATGATAACCTGGTCAACATTAAAGTCATTATGGTCTTGAAAAACAAGACATTTTTGGGAGGTGTTTGTGCACTATAGATCTCTGTGGCACAGCCTAAGCTTTTGTCTTTTATGGGTTTTTTCCCTATTACTTTTACTTTTATGCTTTTAAGTAGTTTTGCATCTAGTACTTTTATACTTTTACTTGAGTAAAAAGCTTGAGTTGATACTTCTACTTAAACAAGTATTTTTAAACCTTAGTATACAGTACCTGAGGAATGAATGTGAATACTTTTGACACCTCTTGAGCACCTCCATCTAACTAGAATGGACCACTCTGGGAGCTTGAAGGGGTGGGGTGTGCAGCACCAAGAGACAGTGTCATAATGAGTTGATCTGAGACACACCTGAGAAAAGGGGTGAATGAGGGGCTTGTGGAGTTACAACAAGGAGGAATTCAGACCAAAGCATTGTGGTTCCACTTTGTACTGTATAGACCCCCAACTGAATAATTTAAAAATGGAAAAGAAGGATTTAAAAGCATGAGATGTCCCCTTGAAGATCACAGTTATTCACACCTGGACTTGTTGTTTTCCACCTAGTTGCAACAGTCTGCAGAGTAAGCACAAGATCATGAGCTAAAGTAAGGTCACATCTTACTTCGCCTGCTATGTCCATCCTATTTTTTTTACACTCTGTGCGATGCCTAAGAGGCAAGATAGAGCAGAAGTAGAGGCACAGTATCAGTTGCCCCTGTGGTGCATAACAAGGTTTATCCACCTCTGCCTTGTCGTGTAAGCATCATTCTGCCTCTGGCCCTGGGGCAGAGAGCTGGCTGACACATGTGAGCCGCCCGCACCTTCTCAGCTGCATGTCATTCACTCTCTCATGTTGACACCAGGACTCTCTGCTGCCTATAGACATGTCAAAATCATCTTCTGTTTCTGTCACTCTCACCATTGATGAGATTTTTTTTCTCCTCATCTGTAGATAAAAAGCAACTGGGGCCCTACTTTAAATTAAATTGCAATGTGCACAACTTTAAGACATATAGAGATGCCTTCCATTTGTCTCGTGAAAATAAAACTTTTATTTATTTTTTTATTTTTACAGTCTCCCATCTCTTCTTGACATTTTTGGCCAATCGTAACTCTCGCTATAAACTCCTCCAAATAATACGAGTGCACTTTTGCTCCAGTGGCTGATATCATGTGCCTGTAACCTTTGTATATTTTGTCTGCACCTTTTTCTCCATCATTAAGTACCAACCCTTCTGTCCGCTCCCCGACTACATGTGAACACACGTTTATACTAATCTGCACGTTTCACTCAGCTTCATACCCATCCTGGCATTTCTCGGCAGTTTACAGCCCTGAGGCAAAGCCACTTTGTAGGGAAGTGATAACAGCTATGCTTCTTCCTGGCAATCACACCGTGCAGCGCCTTGCCTCCTCCAAACAATCTTTTATCTTCTTCTCATATTTAAAGATAAAACTGAGACAAATCTCTGAATAGGTCAGCATATGTTATTTGGCTTGCTCTAGACCAGAGTTCTGACAGAAGTGGCGACTACTGAGATTTAAGTGGTGAGACTGTGTCTTTACAGAAAGCTTATCTTTCAACATTAAGATTAAATAAAGTGTGATTATTTAATCGGATGTGATTGGAGATTTTAGCGTCAAAGGTTTTCTTCTCTTTGCAGTAAAAATTGCCTTCTTTACACAGGCTTTATAATGTTGCAGCTGCTGGTCAGCTGGTCAGTGTAACTTACTGTTACAAAGACAGATATTTGTTGTTTTCATTATAGTTTTTTAAATTAAAATTGATACTGATTATTTTATAATTTTCCTCTGTTTGCTCGAGTATTTCATGGCTTAAATTATTCAAGAATATAGCATATATATTTGTTTTTTTGTTGTTGTTTGTTTGTTTGTTTTTATTTTTTTTTATTTTTTGCTCTTGAGCCAAGCAAGTAGTATTCTTGTGAAAGTGACAATAAGTTAGTGTGAAGCATGATCCGTCATGTTCCTGAATGACACAGACACCACTTATTCAATGGCAGCCTTTTTCCCTGGGAAATAAATCAGAAGTATTTTTTGTGAGATACAAACTGCACATTATCTATTTGTTAGTACTGATGCCATATTTGTCATGAAATGTTTCGTGGACATGTAATTTACTTGCAGCATCTTTTTTCACAATCTTGAAAAATGCAGACAATGAATTTTGTCATTAATCTAAGCGTTATTATATTATGTAATTATCTATCTTTTTTTCAATGTATCCCC